GTGTTGAATCCCATCCTATTCTCATCCGCCCACCCCTGTAACATGTCTAGGTCTGATTGCAACCTATTCCTCCCTTCTAGTGTGCCCACATCCCCCCACATCTTAGTGTCATCAGCAAATTTGAACAGGTGCTTTTTACCCCCTCATCCAAGTCGCTGATGAGGATGTTGAACAGTGCGGGCCCGAGGACCGAGCCCTGGGGGACCCCACTGCCCACATCCCTCCAGGTCGAAAATGACTCATCCCACATTATAAGTAAGGCAGGCAACTCACCTCCTAACTCCAGCACAATATGTTTGCTTGCTCACAGGAAGAGAGAGAGGAAAACGGGGAGCCAGAGGGGGAGAGAAATAAGAAGACAGCACTTACTTTCCAATTGGCTGTCCAGCAGGTGTATGCTCCACTTCAAATCCTGCTTGTCTCAGCACATCAATCACAGTGTTGTTGCCCAGGAAGTGACCTAAAACACAAAAGAAGAAACAGCTACATCACTCAAGCTCTTCCTGAAAGCCTCTGCAAGCCTGGAAAGCCATGGCAAGATCTGAGAGCAAGGAAATCAAACCAAGCAGCCAACTGGGGCCCATCCTTTCAGAATCCTGAATGACACCTGCCTCCTCCCAGCCTGGTCCCCAACCCACCTTGGCAGGAGAGGAGGCAGCTCACACCCTGATGTGCTGCCCATGTAAGTCAGGGGATTGGAAGGACTGACAGGAGGAAGTCTTCTATAGTAATTTAACTGCATCAGCATCTGTAAATTATTGCCTATTCCTATGCAGCCACAATTTCAATCATGCACACATGCATTCACACACACACACACACACACACACACACGCACACTAAAGAAACTCTACTCACAGATTTTGGAACTGCTCCTACAAAAAACATGCAAGTAGTAATTGGATTCATTCTAGACAGGATTATATTCTGTTTGGATTATAATTAGAACTATTAGGTTTACACTTCTACTCAGAGGAAGCAGAAGTCACAAATACTCTGATAAACATTGGAAATGTCTACATGTTCATTAATGTGCCTTAGCTACTGTGCATTTAGTTTAGTACTTGCTTAATAAAGTACTGCAGTAGTGCTGGCGCATGATTTTGTGACGCTTACTGGGCATGTCTACATGAGCGTATTTATTGCACAGTAACCAAAATTACTGTGCAGTATAGGTGCATATGTACAGGTGCATGCCTGTACTGCACAGTAAAATGGTGACTTACACCAACTTGAATGTAAATTTGATACCTATATCATGCAGGTATCACATTTGCACTTGATTAGTTACTGTGCAGTAACACACGTGTAGATGCATAGCTGTACAGTAACCCAGGGGGCTCCCTGCTGCATCTGCCCAGCCACTAGGGGGCCAGCCTGAGCCCACCCCCAGGGCTCCTGACTGGCTGCCTCTCTTGACTTCAATTTGGGACTAAAATTAGTTCCAACTGCTGGTAGCCATGTGGCCAGAGGCTAAAGCTCCCCCTGGTGGCCACAGGGGCACATGGCTGGCTGCTCTGACCCGGGACTAAGTTTAGTCCCAAATCATCTGCACATGTAGATGCTGGCCTATTCCTTTTCATTGTACAGTAATTTACTGCTCAATAAATTTAAGCAGCATACATGCATGTGCAGACAAGCCCACTGTGCATTAGCCTAATAACACTGCACCGTAGGCTATTAGCACGTTTTAAAACGACGCTATTGCGCAGTAATCTATGTGCAGGGCTTATTAGGCTAATGTACAGAAAGTATCTCCTGCAGATGTGCCCACTGCAACATCGTTTGATTGTGCTCTTCCCTGGTGTTTGTGAATATTGTGTGAATGGGTTTTTGTCTGTTTGAATGTTTAAGACCCATCTGGGGTAAACTGCCTGAGATGAGAGTTTAAGCAGAAATTGGATAAATGATTGAGTTCAGGATCAGAGCTGGTCACAAGGTTTTATATAAATGCCAAGATGTTAAAACCTAAACTTTTTTGTGTTTGGATATATTAGACTGGCCAAAACATTATTCTGGGAAAGATTTTTCTGGACTAGAATGGTATTTATAGGGGTAAAAACCCAAACAAACAGAATACTCAGCTGGTCAAAGCACTTACCTCAGATGTGACAGACCCACTTCTAAGTTAGTGGTCTGAATCTGGCAGAGAAAGGACTTCAGTTTGCATCTCCCATATCATAAATAAATGCTCTTACCACCAGGGCATTGCTTATTTTGGTATGTCTTTCTTGCTCTCTTTCCCCTTTAAAAATAATCCTCCAAAGGACTTTATTTTATCTCAATACAGAAGAAGGAAAGATTTGTAGGGAGGGAAAATGATTTCTCACCAAGTTTTATTTATTTATTTTTTTACTTTACTTCTACTTATTGGTGTATTTCAGTGTTGCTAGCCCAAACTGGTCAAGAAATGAGTTGGTCTCATAGAATCATAGACAAGGAGGGCTGGAAGGGACCTCAGGAGGTCACATCTAGTCCAACCCCCTGCTCCAAGCAGGACCAGCCCCAACTACATCATCACAGCCAGGGCTTTGTCTACCCCAGTCTTAAAAACCACCAAGGATGGAGAGTCCACAACCTCTCTGTGCTTTACTACCCTTCTTGTAAGAAAGCTTTTCCTAATATCTATCCTAAACTTCCCTTGCTGCAACTGGAGACCATTGCTCCTTGTTCTGTCATCTGCCCCCACGGAGAACAGTCCAGCTCCATCCTCTTGCAACCTTCCTGCAGGGAGTTGAAAGCTGCTACAAAATCCCTCCCTTAGTCTTCTCTTCTCCAGACTAAAGGAGTCCGATCCCCCCAGCTACTCCTAAGCCTTGTGCCCCAACCCCCCAACCATTTTAATTGCCCTCTGCTAGACTCTCTCCAATCTGTCCACATCCTTTCTGTAGTGGGGGACCCAAAACTGGACACAGGACTCTAGATGTGGCCTCACCAGTGCTAAATAGAGGGGAAGAATCACATTCCTTGATCTGCTGGCAATGCTCCTAGTAATGCAGCCCAGGATGCTGTTAGCCTTCTTTGCAACAAGGACTCAATGCTGGCTCATATTCAGCTCTTATGCCAAATGGATGTGCTTTAAAATACCGGATTTAAAATGTAGATGCATTGTGGATTGGAAGGCACTCAAAGGAACAAGCCATTTCACCTATGTAGGGAGTGAGGCATGCAATGATAATGACACCATGGCAGAAGCCATGAAACATCCTGCCTTTAAGAGTTGAGGCTCTCATAAAACCCCCAAGTTCCACGAGACCCAGGAAAATAAAATCACATCCATGAACAGTATTGGAATTTCATCCCAACAGACACCATAATCATAATTCATTATTTCCTATATACTCTTCTACCACTTGAAAAAAAAATGAACAGACAGTCAGGGAACAGAAACTTTATCAGGTGGTTTAGGTGGCCTATCACATCCCGCAAATCAGGAAGAATGCATAATAAAGAGTGAGCAGATAAAAACAGGGCAGGCTGAGAATTGTTCTGCTAAACCATTTAACAAATTCTTGTGACTCTGTTCACAGAAATTAGAACTGGCTCATGAACCATTCACTAAGTGAAACACAAAGCCCAATTCTCAATAAGCAACCCATTCACTTCTATTTTCAGGGGTAGAGTTTACCTGTAATGGTGCTTCAAAGAAAAAGAAGAAAGAAAGATCAGACCAGAAAGTCAAACATATTATGAGCCCTTACCTAACTTAACTGGACATCCAGCTCCCATTTCTGGAAATTAGAACTTGTGGTTCATAACCCACCCCCCCAAAAAACTCAATATTTCATTTATTAGCTTGTTTTCCTGGTTGCCATATAAAACCAGCCTACTCCTAAAAAGTATCCCAAGCAGTTTATTCTAGTTGGCAATAGAGGAATCTTCTCCTTTCTGTAGGCTGGGAGATTTATGAATGTGGCTCAAAGGTTGTAAAAAGAGTTTTGAGTGCCTCCTGTATGCCAAAGGCCTGATTCATATCACAATGAAGTCAATGGAAAACTGGTTTCAATGGGCAGCAGATCAGGCCTCAAGAATGTATGATACTTCCCTAGAAGACCTCAAACTATCATCAAAAACCCAGTTATTTTTTACACATCAAAGGACAGAGCATAAGGCAAAGTGTAGTGCTGGTGAGAGGTGCCAGTAATGAAGGACTTCATATTTTCCATAGGATAAACTGACCGTGGATCACAGTAGAAGCCCTACACAATGCCCTACCTTCCAATCATACTAGTGATTAGGGGTGTGCAAAACGGGCCCTATTTGATTCAGATTCGGCTCTAAATGATTCAGCTTGTTGATTTGGATCACTGTCCCCGATTTGATTCAACTGAATCTGAAGATTCGATGCTGATTCAGAGAATCAGTGATTCAGACATACACACAGCTTTAAAAGTTGTTTTGACATACCTTGAGGTACCAGGCACAGCTTGTGAACGCTGTGATGCTGGGGCTGATGGAGCATCCCATGGGAGTGGGGTGGGGGGCCCTGCGTGCTCGGTGGCAAACCTGGAAGTGGACCAGAAGTACTTCTGGTCTACTTCCAGGTCCACTGGGGAGCATGCTAAGGGCCCCCCATGCCCCCCTGGGTCAGTGATTGGTCACAGGGGGACCCCGGATGCTCCCCACCTCACCCCACACCCAGGAGGCACTAATTGCTGAGCCGGGGAGGTGTGGGGGGCCCCCCCATGTGCTCCCCACTGAACCCGGAAGTGGACTGGAAGTGCTTCTGGTCCACTTCTGGGTCTGCTGCTGAGCATGCTGGGGAGTCCCCTGCACTCCTGTGGGATGCTTCATGCGCCCCAGCATCACAGTATTCACGAGCAGCTGCTACCTAGAGGTCTGTAGAAAAAACATTTTAAGCTGTGTCTGTGTCCGAATCTCCAAATCTTTCTGAATCTCTCCTAATTGATTTGGAGGGTTCTGATTCAATTCAGGGAGATTAAAGGGCACTCTGATTTGATTTGGATTTGGACATTTGGCCACAGAATCAGGGACCGAAGCTTCGCACAGCCTCACTAGTGATACACTGCCATCAATCCCATAATTGTGAACAGACTCAGTCCCAGTGCATTCACCCAGGCTGTGGAAGAACAATTTAAGGATTCAAGGGTAATTCGGTCATTGGTTTCCTTTGGTGTCTCTACTTAGCCTACCAAAAAGGGGACTAATTCCTATCGGTTGTGTCATGAAGTTTTTGCAGGGTTTTTAGTGCAACTCACAAGCATCATAAATAGATTTTAGCCAAAGACTTTTCTTTAAACTATTAAACTTACATTTGTGGACATAACTTGTTCCAGGATTCCACCATTTCCTTTCAAGAAAAATCAAAATTTGATTTTCCCCTGACTAATTTGCTTACAACTAAAGCCAATGAAGTCAAGAACAGTCCCAAAAATGTGCTACACCCTCAGAGATTTGAGCAATAAGACATTTGTGAGCAATTAACTTGATTTGATCATA